ATAATTCAAATTATGATAACCCACATGCATTATCTTGCATTTATCATAATTAAAACCTATCTGCCATTTATTTGTCCAACTCACAAAATGATCCAAGTCCTTTTGTAAATCAGCAGCATCCTCTTCACAGCTATCAACACACAAGACCTTAATATCATCTGCAAATTTAAGTAATTTATTGACTGTCCCTTCATCTATGTCATTGATGTAAATCAAAAAAAGCAAAGGTCCTGAGAATGAGCCCTGAGGTATCCCACTTGTGACATTAATCCAATTTGACTGAATTCCATTTGTAACAACCCTCTGCTTTATTACATCCAGTCACTCTTCTATCCAATTTGCTAATTTATCCCCTACACCTATAGACACTTTTTTTTACAAGCCTTTTGTGTAGCACCTTGTCAAATGCTTTTTGAAAAATCCAGATACACCAAATTTACACTCTTACCCTCATCTACATAAACCCCTTGTACTTATTAATTAGCTCCTCTGACCTACATCATTAGTCCCTACATGCACGACAAAAACTTCATTTCTGCTACTATTGCTAGCCCCTTTATTATCTCTCTTTCTCTGTCAGTTATATCTTCCACCTGTGCTCCTGGGTAGTATAATCTGATTCTTTTCTCACTATTCTATCCACATGCCTTATCAAGGAATCACCTATAACTATAACCTCCTTATTATCCACATCCTTCTCTGACCTTTTTGTTTTCTTTCCCTCCAATAGTTGCTCATCTGCAGAACCCAAGGGCTGAGATTTGTTGCTCAGCAGAATAGGCTCATTATAACTAAATTGACTACTTTTAGCCCTAACAGTACTCTTTCTAACTTCCTGAAAGTCAATGGTAGCTTATGTGTCATTTGCATGTAAAAGCTTAAGCTCCTCCTGAAATCCTGCTGCCATTTCCCACAATTAACACTTTTCTATCTATTGCATCTACTTTAATCATGATTGCCTCTAACTTCTCCTCCAACCTACAAACTCTACATAAAAATTGCACATCTTCATTACTAGCTTCCTTAAAAGTACATTCCAGTCCTGAGTTCCCAAATAAAACCCACTCATTGCACCTATTACATTTAACAAAATGTGAATGCATAACAGCTACACTAGTCGTAACTATTGTATTTATACTTATAGCCTAAAAATAAATATTAAACAAATACCAGTAGCCTATTGTTAACACTGTTACTGTCAAGCCTAACATGTAAGAACCAATTATATATTTTTATCACTACTTTGTCTTCACACTAATGTAATAAAGTGTGTCTAATTATATTGAACTTAATAATTTATTAGAACAATATATGTAATGTTAATAATAAAACGTATTTACTTTAGCCCGATTTATATTATACCTACCTATATCTAAAAGCTGAATTTAAACTAATGGATCTAAGTTCAAATAAACATGTTAATTCTAGAACACAAAGAGACAATACACTAATTTTTCGATTGTATTTATTTAATAAAACAATGTATTTGTCCTGTTTTACAATTTACCAGTGAGTAAAATATACCTAAGCCTAAAGTACTGTTAAATGTACTAAGCCTATTTTAAGTCAAAACGTAATAATAATTTACACCCCTAAACTCTAACTTAAAACTTTGACCATCTTATTATACCTAGTTATTTAACCCAAGTTACTAAAAATGATAATAATAATATTAAATAACTTTCAGAAATCTATGAGCTTAACTTTTCAATATCCTTCCTCTTTAGTAGCACCCTCTTGACCAATTGATTACTTTTGAGCATTTATTAACTGACACTAATCAGTGTAAAATAATTAATTAATAAAAATTGTTTTCTGATTAGTCCTAATATTCAACTAACCAAAATACTGCCATTATCATTTCTCATCACTTTTTGATTCAAAGTTGTTCAGCTTAATCAGTTAGCATCATAACTCCAAAACAAAATCAACTAATTAAAATAGTGTGTCTGATTATTCCAACTATCCACATGGGCTTTGTCATTTTGATCAACCTAATAACTATTATATAACAAGGAAACTAAACATACTATAACTGATTGTACTAAGTGTATCTTCACAATATTTGACAAGCCTTTACTAGACATTAGAAGTCTGTTGTACACAAAGAATCAGATTTTCTAACAAATTATTCTTACTAAAGATTTGGAGTTATAAAGCCTTTGCTGAGTTAGCATGGGTGAAAGGTAATTTTTATGCTAAGAATGAAAACACAAAACAGTTATTTTCATCTTAGTTATCTTTTTTTTTATAACTTTAACAAAATCAAAAACCTTTTTTTAATAGAATAATTGTAAATTGTAACAATTATAAATATTTATTCTAATAGCCTTAGCTGTATAACCTTTTGTTATCTGCTTCCTTTTAATTTTACTGCTTTGCGATGCTCTTTAGACTACCTAAGTATGTGACAGGCAATTAACCAAAGCAGCAGAAATTAGTGTTAACAACCAATCAGGTTATAATCACATGACACAATTAGCTAGAGCTTGTTTTTGTGGAATTATATATAAATTGTTTTTTGTGTACCTTTGTTATATAACCTATCGAGGTTTTAATTTTTACATTTTAGTTACTTTCAAAGAATATATGAAGCAATAAATAAAATACATTCATGAAAAAGAAATTTTGGACTTTTATTAGAGTTGAAGCCTATTTCAGTAATTTGTACTGGAGAGTACTTACTTAAAACTAGTTTTCATGCTGTGTTGGTTCTTCTTAAAACAACATTCCTTTCAGATATGTATTTTAAAACATGAAAGATATATCAGGCGTAGAATAAAATATCCAAAAAATTTCTAATGTAACTTTTTTTTTTTTGTACTAAGCTATAAATAGGTTCAAATTGTTAGCTGCTCATATCAGGGGAAAGAAAAAGAGTTGCAAACAGTGAAACTGAGACTAAATATAG